CAGAAAAGTGCTGGCCAAGTCAACGATGGCAACGACAACGGCAAAAGTCAGAGACATCTGACACTTCACATGGCCCTCATGGATGAGGGCGCCTTATTGGCCCCAACTTGTGACTAAGCTGATGTTGCTGATCCCAAGCCAAAGATGAGTTTCAGGGGCTTAGCGACCAACTTTTCAATATACCCACAGTGCCATCGAATGGGGAATAAGAGTAGTTATTCGGTTTTTCCAAGGCAATCAGACTTGACTCTTATAATGTACTCGGGCCACAAAGTGGAAGTACAGAACTTAAACGACGTATTTCCAGCGAATATTATTCACCATAAAAACATAATCTTGAAAATCAACCCAAGCGTTTGCAGTTATAAGAACGGATTTTCTAATACCATCCAACCACACAGTTTAATCGACCTCTTCAAGCTACTCCTTCTAGTTTGTAAATAGATCAACTGTTATTCATGATTTGAGATAGTTTTAGCAGGAGTGGTTTTCGCAGTTTGCGACCATTTATCATTCATGTTTCTGCAGTGAGACTTTGCTGCCCCACTTTGTTTGCTCTGCAAATGTTGTGGAGTGGAGTTTGGATGGGTTTCGTGTGGGTGGTGGGTGGTGGATGGTGGGTTTTCACGGAAAGCACTGCGGAGATGGCGCCAGCGTAGCCAGCGTACCCAGCTCAACTGAAGCGTTCTAATTGCTGCATAAATATTGGCTTAAAATTAGCTCATTGTGCGGGATTCAAGCTCGGCTTCAGACTCCATTGTGTGCGTATATATCTACTTCTATCTATCTCGGTTTCAGGGTGTGTGTGAGTGTGTGTGTGTTGCCACAGTCAATTACCACATATTTGTCTATAATTAATAAGCTTCCCACGGGGGCCTGAGTTTTGTCCCGCTGCAACTAAGGCTTTAAGCAAATAGCAATCACTTCCAGCGAGTCTGCAATAGTCTGCGAAGTTTTCGCTCATTCAATTGCAACTTTGTTCTGGAGTTCCCTATTTTCGGAACTTTTGATGTTGCTCCTGCAGTTGAATAACTCGCACAGCATGTTCGATTCTCGTTCGCTTACTTATTTATACCGTTATACCGTTTGCTGCACAATCCGCTCAGTTCCCCCTTCTTTTTCCAGGTAATGGCTCTGTGTGTGCCCCCTGCTCATACTTGCCACGCTTCAAATTAATTTGAGCTGTGCAAAAAATGTGCTTGGCTGCTCATGTATGCACCAGGATGGGTTCTTTTAGGGTGCCTGCTTATGTGCAATGTGTATCAAGCGAAGGCACTTTAAAAACCAATCGAGTTTTGCCCCACAACATGAGTACAAATTAAATTTTTGGGGATGCAAACATTTCATCAGTGTATCCCAAGTTCAAATTTAGAAATCATATAAAGTCCCTATTTAGTGGCTTTATTATTGATCCAAGCACACTAAGTAAAGCTTACTGGCAGCTTTTCAAAAAAAATTCTTCCTCCGAGTTTCTGTTCAAGAATTCCTCTTCAACGAATTCTTTAAAAAGGGACGATATTAAAAGCCTTGACACATTTATTTTCACTCAAAGGAAAGGCGTGAAAATGTGCTGCATCCGCCTGGATTGCAACATTGACACTCTGCTCAACGGCTTCCCCATTTTGGCATCAATCAAGATGATAATCATTCCTCGTTTTTTGTAACACTTTGTGAGATCTTGTTGCACCAAGGACAAGCTAAACGTATGCAAATCATTATGTTAATCGTGTGCCATCAAATTTTTTGGCGTAATTCATCACAGTGAGCCACATTTTGCCGTCGGTGAAGGGAGCGTTCCTTCCCCGCTTTCACGCCTGCCTCCCCCTTCTTCACCCCTTCTTAACCTCTTCTTCACCCCCTCTTCTCCCTCCGTTTTCTACCATCTATTCCAGCCTTCTTCACCCCTTTCTCCGCTGCACTTTCCCCCGTTTCCAACCCGTTTTACCTCGCTTTGGAACCACCGCTTGCTTTGCTCTTGCTGCTGCTTAGCGCCCGCGTGGCTAAGCCAAAATTTACACAGGCACAGCGAGTTTGGCGTGGAGTGTGCTTGGCTATGCTGAAATTTGCACTTTTCCGAGCTCACACACACAACCGCACACACACACCAGCGGCATAAGTAAACAAGTTTAGTATAATCAACGGTTCGCTGGCTGCCGGGCCATACGAAAAAGTGTTGCACATCCGCTTACATAACACACAAGCCCCCCACCAACATGGAGATGACGTAGTACTCGTATATGTTTTTATTAGCATGCTTTGTATGGCTTGTATGCTGTCAGGCTCACGAGCAAGTTGGGGCTGCATTTATCAGTTGGAAATGAGAGGGGGCTTCTCGGTTGGGATGGTTTTCGGGGGAGGGGAGCTTGGTGAGGATTCACCTGTCTCATGGCGGTCGTAAAACCACATTACCTGTGATTTCCGAACACACACAGGATGGCTTGTTCATCAGCGTTGCAGTCGGGAGCACGAGGCGATTGGGTATCTGCTTCTGCTGCTGCTGCTGCTAGTGGCCCTTTGGCGCCTTTGTGCCACGTTCATTGAATGTTTTCCTATTAATTTTTTATTGAATGATGCTTTTTTCCCCCCCCGCCCATCCAGCATACCTTCACGCAAAATGTTGATGGGCTGGGGGAGGTGGGAGGTGGGTGAATGGTGGCCCACTCCCTGCGGCGACATGCTAACTTTATTCAATTCCTCGGCTGCTCATGTGGAACGCACACTCGATGTCCTTCCATCTATCTGCCTCTAACTGCACCGCAGCCCCTCTTTCCCCCTTAGTTACTTCCTCTATTTTTAGCCGGACCGGAGGAGTCGTCTAAAGTGCCTGAAAAATTGCTAGTACTTTAGAACGCATCTCAGTTGTGGGGATAGCGATTAGACGCTCAATCGAGTGGAGGATACCCTTGAAAATAAACCTTCACAAAAGGACAAGATTTAAGTGCTCTTTAACTTCTTCATGCAACGATATTTAAATTTAGTTATCAAACCTATGAGAATACAAATAAATAAATCACTTTAAGAAATAAATATTTCAAAAATCTATTTTTAAATGGCAACATTTTTAAAAAGTTCATCGATTAGTGATAGATCAGTAACTTCAGTATTTCTTTAACAATAAAGAATCCTGTGCTTAGATAAATATCCCTAAGATATCGCCATTTCCTATACGTTATTTCTCCATAGCATCTTTGGTAATCCCCTGGTTCTATATACCCCATCTTTACCGCCGAGCTCCCGCTGATGGGACAACAAATGAGCAACATGATGTGAAGCATTTTGCTAGTTCCTTAAACTGAACAAAAGGAGAAAAGGGGCGGGCAATTCGGGGGCAGCGAAAGAACCCAACAAGCTGGTTAAGCCCAGTATGCCACTCCATTTGGAAGACGTTTTTTACGGTTCGCCACAAGCCCATAAAAAACCTCCAAAATGGGTGACACACAAAGAAGCCACACACACACATGCTCGCATATGTATCCACCTGCACTCACACTGCGAAACGGGAAGGCAATGAAATAAACAAAGCCGCGGTAGGACTTACAAACCTCAGCGGAGTGAGCGAGATGGGAAAACAGTGAGCGAAAGAGAATCTCTCCGAGTGGAAAGAGAAGGACAGTAAGCAAATTGCTGTGGAGACCAAAAGCCGGACCACTGTCGAAATTATCGAGCAGCAGGTGTGCTCCTCGCTCTTCCCCCATCCTCCCCTTCCCTATCTCACATTCTCTCCCTCTCTTCTCACATTCTCCACCTGTCTCTGTCACTCTCACTCAGCCGCTGGCATTATTGCCTCTGTGGCTTTTTGGTAAATATTTTGCATAAAATATCAATTTAACATGCAAACGTGCCAACATATGAAAATGTGTGACTGCAATGACTACTTCAACTTAATGAAATTTAAATAAAAATCTGCAAGTGCAAACTTAATAAATTATATCAGTTGTTTTTCCTGACATTTTTCCTCGCTTACCCCACAAATCTGCCAGCGGCTAGCTTATTCTAAATAGCGTTGCATAACTTTTGTAGCCGTATCTTTGTACAAGTCAGTGCAGAGCTGTCAGATACAAATTTTCTTGCTTTGGGTGGAGATATGCAAATGACGGTTATTAAAATTCCAGAAAAAGGTCTTCATTCGCCCCACCCACTCGAGATTAATTGAGAGCATTTAAGGTGACATTAAGCTGGGCTCCAAAATAAAGGACCCAAAAGTAAATCGAAAAAAAATGGATGGTTCAACGAGTTATCCCCTGCCAAATGGCTATTTCACTCGATTTGGTCTAGTCGCAGCGATAAAATTGGAAAGCAGATTTACTTGTTGATTTCCACCATAATTGAATTACCCGCGAATAAAGTGCGGACGAAACGGGTTTCGACGTTTTTCCCCCAAAGGGCAAACAAATTGGGAGAAAGGCTGGCGAGCCAAAAATTAATTTAATTTCTGGTGTATTTACTGGGAATTTGTTAGCCAACTTTTTGGGTCTAAACACACAAGTTAAATAGCAATTTAGTAGATTTTTGCGGGGCCCGGCATAATGAAATATTTACTTTTGTTTTAACTCAAATATTTTGGAACGGAGGCCAGAGTATATAAAATATATATCAGTGACAGCTTGTTCATATTCATGAGCCTTGCGGTCATACAATGGCAAACAAATGTCCAGCCAGGCATTTAAATGTATAATTGAAAACAAATAACTAGTTAGTAAATAGGCAACCCCCTTCACTTTCCCGAGGCTTTTTTTTTGTTTGGGTTGTGTATTTATTTGTTAATACGATATTTACGCCCCCCAAATGGAAATGGGAAAATTTCCAATCAAAACAACAGTGTTAGTGTTAGTGGTAACCGCATCACGTAGTCTGTTAACGGAAGGAATAAATATTTCAAGCACAATTTTGGGGGCGGTTACGGCATCCACTTAGCTAGCGTGGCCCTCGTTCCCCCTTTTTTTCCCTGCGGTTCATCTATATAAGTTGAAGCGAAAATCGAACGTGGCCGAATATCCAACATGGACTCCAGCTACTTTGCCGTTCAGAGGAGAGCTCTGGAAATCGCCGGATTTGATCCCAGTACCCCGAATCTGAGCTTGAAACATCCCATTTGGGCAGGAATACTTGTGCTTTCCTTAGTTTCCCACAACTGGCCGATGGCGGTTTATGCCCTGCAGGATCTGTCCGATTTAACGCGACTCACGGACAACTTTGCGGTGTTTATGCAGGGATCGCAGAGCACTTTCAAGTTCCTGGCCATAATGGCGAAGCGAAGGCGTATTGGAAATTTAATTCACAGATTACATCAACTTAATCAGGAGGCTAGTGCCACTCCCAATCAGCTGGAAAAGATCGAAAGGGAAAACCAACTGGATAGGTATGTCTCGAGATCCTTCAGGAATGCTGCCTATGGAGTTATTTGGGCATCGGCCATAGCTCCAATGTTGCTTGGCCTTCTCGGATATATTCGAACTGGGATATTTACACCGACCACACCCATGGAATTCAATTTCTGGCTCGATGAACGGAAGCCCCAGTTTTATTGGCCCATCTACTTTTGGGGAGTTTTGGGCGTGGCAGCAGCAGCTTGGTTGGCCATTGCAACGGATACTTTATTCTCCTGGCTAATTCACAATGTGGTTGCTCAATTCCAGTTGCTGGAGTTGTTCCTCGAAAAGAAGGATACAAGTCATGGAGATGTTCACCTAACTGAAGCCATACGACGCCATCGTTTGGCTCTCGACTTGGCCAAGGAACTCAGCTCCATTTTCGCCGAGATCGTGTTTGTGAAATACATGCTGAGTTACCTGCAACTCTGCATGTTGGCCTTTCGTTTCAGCCAAAGTGGCTGGAGTGCCCAAGTGCCCTTCAGAGCCACTTTTCTGGTGGCCATTATCATCCAGCTCAGCTCCTATTGTTATGGCGGTGAATACCTCAAGCAGCAAAGTCTGGGAATAGCTCAGGCCATTTATGCCAATTGCAATTGGCCAGAAATGCTGCCTAAAAACAGGAGACTTTGGCAGATGATGATCATGAGAGCTCAGCGACCCGCAAAGATTTTTGGCTTCATGTTTGATGTGGATCTACCACTTCTACTTTGGGTAAGATTCGTATCGTCAGCATATAATATTTTTCAACTTCTATTATTGACAGGTGTCAAGAACAGCGGGCTCGTTTTTGGCACTGCTGAGAACTTTCGGTTCCCCATCTTAAATTTCAAAGAAGGAATCTATCAAAAACACACCCAAACATGAAATCAATATTTAAAAAGCTTTTTAAGCAGGCGCATTAAAAAATGGTATAGAAATAACGGAAAAAATGTTCAAAATAATGCGTTTTAAGTTTCAACTCAAGGTTAGCAAAATTTAATGATAATTTGTGAAATAACTGATACAATTAGTATAAAAACTTTTAAATGCATGTATACTTTGCTTGAGAATGAACTTTATTTGCAAATTTTTAAATGTCGGCATCTTTGCCGTAAAGTTAGGAAGTAGTTAGTTTTACGAAATAAATCCAGCAATTTGTATGAAAACCTGGACAAGGAGCTTTTGTACTTTGCTTAGGATAAAAAAGTAAACTTGCTGAATATTTTTTGGGCCATTACTCAAAGTTAGTAGCTCTTTATAACTTGAGACCCGAACCCTAATTAGTTGGCATTTAATATCTGCCGTAACCAGTATGTTTTTGACAGTAGCTGCAGCCCGGAGGAATCTTTAGCCGAGTGCAGCATGCACACACACATGCCACAGGGCGGTGCAACTGCAGGCGGAGAATATGAAATTCATGAGCGAATTCCACAAAGGCAGCAGCAGCAGCAGCAGAATCAGCAGCAGAAGCAGCTCATGCGTGGCCATGGTGGCATGGATGTTGCCGTGTATATCTATATGCCAGGTAGCCGGAGTCGGAATTTGTTAACTGAAAGTATGCAGCAGCAAGGTAGCAACAGCAAGGCAACAGCATCGTTCAGGTGGAGAACAAGTTTGTGAAAAATAGCTACTCGAACTATGTACACCGTTCTGTTAGCCAGCCAATGGCCCGGGGCCCTTTTTCCGACTCAGCCGGTTCTTGAGCTAGTTTCGGGGTTTCAGGATCGGGATCAGGTGGAATGTGGTCCTTAAGCCCCCGGTCCCCGGTTCCCCGGCCCCCATGTCCTTTTCATTCTTCATCCCTTGTTGCCGGATTGCGGAATGTTGCCTGTTACGGAATTTTTGGCTTGCTACTGCCGAGATTTGAATTCAGTTGGAGGCCAAGTCGCTTGAACGGAATTTGTTTTATTAAATTTTGCAACTCGGTATTTTGCACATGCAATGGACTGACTGACTCTTCGTTCGAAAGCGATGACAAATTGTGCGGGCGTGGTAGCCGGCACCTTGGATTAAGTAACAAATTACGCCAACGCCATTGCGGGCATAATTAATTTTTGTCTCCAGCATTTGATTTATTGGTCTGCGCTGGTCAGCATCTTTGGCTTGACTCCGAAAAACAAATGAGCAGCGATTAATAAGCGGGAAATCGCTTGTGGTCATTACGCACCTGCGGCATAAACAGCAAAATCGAGCATTAACCTGGAATCTGAAATCTGAAACCTGAAACCAGAAGCAGCCATCGCAAGGGGGCCATATAACTTTACAGCAAATTGTGGCCGAGATAAGGGGCCAAGCACAACTTGCAAGTAGTGGCGAAAAAAGCAGCATTTTATGTGTATTAAATGGGGAACAAAAACGACCAGGAGCTGAGCACAGATTTTGTTTGCGGTTCGTTGAGCACACAATAATTCCATCAGCAGCAGCAGCAGCAGCAGTACGAAAAGGGGGCGTGGCAGGCGGGAAGAGGTGGCCGGTGGGCGGTGGGCGGCGAGTGAAAGATAAAAGTGCCGGCAGCACTTTCGCTGCACTGCTTTTTTTGCCGTTGTTGTTGTAGCGTATTGTGTGGTCAGAACCACGGGGCGAGTGGTTAATAATCGAATAAAAAAGGCCTTAAAGCTTTCGAGTAGTTGGCAAACATTTATTCAATGTAAATTGATATTCAAAACATCAATTCAAATTAAATGCACTAATTCAACTTTTTGCCCAAAAAAGTATGCAACTGAAAACATTTTCACGAGCAGAACCCTGGGGTATATGGTTTAAAGGCAAAAAAATAACCTTAAAGCTGCACAACACTTTGCATTTATTTATTCAAATTTCCTCGGTTACCCGCCATTTTGTCGCCAAAAAAATATGCAACAGAAACGGTGAAGCGCATTCAATACTTCGGGGCGTATACTTAATATTTGATAAACAATCTTTTTATAACATGACAAGAGTGACACTTAAATGTACTGTTTTGTATTTAAAATGACGAAATGAAGAAATAAAAAATTAAAAAAGAATTTTTTGAATTTTGAATTGAATTCTCTTTTATCACTTTTATTGTAATGACAATAGTCACCCTTATAATGCCCAATTTTGTATTGGAAATGATTTTAAAAATTTTGAATTGAATATTCTTTTGTTTATTGTAATGACAATAATGAATGGTAAATGGGTAAGATTAATTTGCTTAAAACTTTAAAAAAGATTATTCCTGTGGTTCTAATGCCAATTTTTTTATTTTAAATTGAGATTGAATTTCCATTTAAATTCATGTATTCAAGAACTTAAAGCGAAAGAGGGGAAAAAATGGTACTCACAAAAAAAAATGTAAATTCAATAACTCAAACAAAACCGCTAATTCAAATTAAATGCACACCTTCAACCGCTTTTACAGTTATTCCACCCCTTTGCCTCTGCCGGAAAAATAGGTAACAAAAAAGTGTCCTGCTTTAATCGGGCTTGTGTTTGCTGAAGCTATATTTCCATCTGTATATATAACATATTTTTCGGTTAGGCATACAAGGCGGTTGTGCAGGGCCGTGCTGAAACTTTTCTAATTAAAATTGTGCGGCTTGTTGAAAGGTTTATACCAGAAAGTGGGTGGCGCAAGGGGCACAGATAGCCTGTTTTAATAGAAATAACATTAATTAATTTTTAAAATATGCTTAAATACACATTTCTATGCATTAATTAATACGGGCTCACACACACACACACACACACAGCAAGTAAACAATGAAACGTGACTGGAACTAACAACGAATTTGCGGCAAAAGCGAGTGGCATCCCAACTCCAGTGCTAAACGGGGATTTGGCTAATTAAAAAACTCCCACTTAATTTGCTGTTTATTTGGTTAAATTCGTTTTTAATTGCTGGCTAAAGTGGAGCGAATTGTATATGAAAATTGACAAGAACATGGACCAAAACAGCGTCGGTGATTACAATGTTTTATTGACTATTTTTCCCCACATAATTGCCAGCGATTTGGACGATGTCCAAATCGACTTGTTTTCCCCCTCGAGACGAGACTCTCGAGTTGTTACACTCATCGGGCATCCAAGTCGCTATTTTTGCCTCTACTGCTTAGTTTGGCAACTTTGATTTACGCCACCCGGACCAAACCCATTTTTATGGGACTTTGTGTGACCCATTTGAACATTCGGCGTGCAGCGGTCCCTTGCCTCGTACATAAAAATCTCACATTTTACGGCAAAGTAAAAACTGCACCGAAATCAATCAACATATTTACGCACTTTTAAGAATTTCGTTGGTCAGAAGCAATTCCCAATTGGAATTTCAGCAGGCGCAGAGAACGATCCAATGTTAATTAAAACGCAGAAAATATTTTTCGTCATCTTCCCTCTGATATGCCATTAAATAATCACCACATAATTATCATTACACTCCTGACCCTATCATATACAATTACTAATGCTTCCGAGAGCCCAACCAAATTGCAATTACCTTATGCATAATTAAATTATAATTCATTAGACATGAGCCAAGGGCTCCGGACGCGTCTAAACAGCGCCAATTAAATATTACCAGTGCCAAAATCATATTCGATTCACAATCACAGGAGAGTAAATCAATAAGCTTAAAAATATACCACTCAATGGGTGGTTACGCCCATTTTTAAATACATATTTATCAGTTGAGTTATTGAAAGCGAATTTCGATATCCATCTTGACTCGACTCAATTCGGTGAATCCTGGCGGTCTTAGGAGATGCACAGATAAAAATGGTATTGTGAGTATACTACATAAAGACAGAAAGTTCTGGGAGGGGGATTGCAGAGTGAAGGCTGAGGATATGGAAATTACAAATGCCATTGTTTGTGCAAAAAGTCAGACAATGTGAAATTGTTTAGAAGCAACACGCGACAAGAAAAATGCAGAGCAATGAGCGAGGAATATTTGAAAAATGACTTTTCTTCTGTAGCAACTTTTTTCATTTTTTTTTATTTTTATTTTTTTGGTTGAGGAATGCGAATGAGTCTGCTATTTTCTTGTTGCAATGTCGCATGAGTTTGTGATTTCTTTGTGTGTATCTTTCTTATTGGCAGTGGATTTGTAAGTGTATAATGTGAATTCAATTATTTTTGTATATCGTTCTTTTTCTCTTGTGTACATTACAATTTTTGGATCCACTCCGGGCTTGGGGTTTGCCTTCGTCGACTTCATTTCTCAGTGGGCCGTGTCTCGCTCTCTCTCTTTCTTTCCGAACCGCCCTTTCTCTTTCTTGGCCGTCTCCTCGATTTGCGGAATATTTTCAATTTTTGCGGTAGGATATTGGCGTCGTTTCGCTTTCCGTGTTTGCTTACTGTTTTAATTATTTTGCCTCATTTGATTTGCCGTCCTTTTTTAATTAAATTCTTTTGACCATAGTTTATTTATTTATTTATGTATTTTATGGGCTATTTTCAGCATTCAATTTCCACGCGCTTGTTTGCTTTTCTTTGCTGGGCGAAACCTTTTTAATCATTTGTTTTACAAAAATGTTTGCGGCTGTTTTTTCCGTTGGTGTTTTCAATTATATTGATATTCGGTTTTTTGTTGCTTGTTTTGTTATTTACTAATAAAATGCATGTAAGTCAGTCCGTCGTTTCAACATTTTTGTTTTTTGTATGTCTTGTATATTTTGTTTGTTTGCTGCAATGTAATATAACCATGAGCACTTAAGTTCGCAACTCGATACTCGAGATTTCGAAGCACGAAAATTTCTGGCAGCCAGCCGGAGGCAAGCAATTGAACAGCAATTATCGTGGCAAGGTTGCAGTTAGCAGTTCGGCGCGAGTGGCAAGTGCACTGGGGATGCACTGAATGCTGCTCATGTTGCAACGGGGGAACAACAAGTGCATGCTGAGGACAGCCGCACCCACCAGGCAGCCACGCCTATTTCGCCACGACAATTCCGCCAACCATTTGCACTTGGCTACCACCCAAAACCCATTCATTCACACACTTGCTGCTCGAAAATACACACTAAACTTGTAGCTAAGTTGCGGCTTCCGTGATTTTTATCTTTTGATTTTTTTTATCGAATATTTTCTTGAATATTTTTCTGAATATTTCTTTAGCCCGATTTCGAAACGTTCCAAGTCCAAGGCGTGCACAGCGCTCGGCGCTCAGAGGAAAAGACAACTTGATCACAGCATGGAAAATGTTCAACTGACCGAGTGGCTAGCCTGTAGACCAGCAGAGAAGCTGCGGCTTTATCAGCTCGTGGCTAAAACCGCTCGGCCAGCAATCAGTTCGGCAGGCGGAGCCTTCGGCTCGGCACGCAGGACTCGCGTCCTCGTATCCTCGCATCCTCGCGTCCTCGCGTCCTCGCCTCGTGACTCGTGCTTCGGGCCGTGCTTCGTGTTCGTGTCCTGCGCTCGGGAAGCAACATGTTGGACCCATCCACATCCTTGGCTCCTGTTGGCCCTCCAAAAGGCTCACGGATTTGAGTGCAACTCACTCCTCGCTCGTCCTGTGTCGTCACGTGTTGCTCTTACTGGCATTGAGCGGCAGCTTCGAGTGAAAGCTCCGTTTGTTTTCCTCGCCTACGCCCAACGAGTCCTTCTCGTCCTGAGCTTCCACTCCCCCTTCCCACTCACCCTTTCACCTCCCCTACCTCCTTCCCGATGACGATGATGAGCTGCGTCCTCGTTCCCGAACACTGGATATCCTTCGCAGCGGAAATTATATATGACGAGATATGTATTACTTTGCCATCGAACAAAGGGAATGCGCTCCGCTTTGCTTGGGCCGTTCAGCTTAGCTCTGACTTTTCATCAGAAATTGGTAATTGGGGACGGGTCTTCTTTTCTTTTTATAGACTACAGAAAAGATTGTTTACATATTAAGAATTTTAAAATATTCTTAGCTCATTTATTTTTGAGAATTGATAAATTAAAATATTCACTTAATATTATTCCCAGTCAGATCCAAGACTCCTTAATTCACCAGAAGCTTTAACATCTCTGTTATAAGTTTCAAGAGAAAATAAAATTTAAGTAACATTTTAGGGGGCAACCATTTTAACAACAATTTTACACTGCATATATTTCATGCATTTATGTAGAAAGCCTATTAAAATTCCAAATAAATCGGTACCGTTAAGTTTTTGCAATATACTGCTCAAACAATTTCTTTTATTTTACTAATAAAAAAATCTAACCTATAATGATCTATGTTTCTTTCTGTTCTACGATTTTAATGACCACTCACGAATATTGGTTTATTTCTCAACACGCACTATTCATAATCTTCTTATACAGATATGACACATATGTATATATTGGGTTTTAAGAACTAGGAGTAAGTATTTGCATTGCCTTATAAACATTAAAATAGTTAATAAAAAAGGAATCTTTTTTTAATTGCACATCTGTTCTTTTAAACTTAATGCAGTGGTGTAATCGGTTTGGATTCCGAATGCGTTTGAAAACATGGCAAAATTTTAAAACTTCTTATTCATAGCTTTATGGTAAAAGCAAAGGAAAATATTTTTATTCAAAGTAAACTATATTTATGCCAAACTTCCCTGTTACCATTTCTTTATCCAACAAACTCCAATTTTGGTAACTACACTTCTTGACTGATAGTGATAGCATAACTTTTTCGGTTATTCTCCGAGGTGCATTCACACATGGCTGCATCGCAGTTTCCCAGAAAAGGCGAAGCTGCTTAGAAGGTGTTTTCCGGGGGGACGGGGACGGGGTGAACGGCTTACGGAGACTTTGAACAGAAGGTTAGCTGCACCCAAACTCCGGCCGCCATAATGCAATTATGCACTGCCTGGCGGCGCAGTTCCTTTGGTACGGGTAATAAGCATTTGCATTTTCACAAAATGTAGAACACAAGTCGCTGAAGAAGTTGCCGCTTTGTGGGTTTCCAGCGGCCTTTCCCCTACTCGGAACCCCTTCCTCATCAGCCGGAATGGACCTACGGCCATGTTCGCGTGGCATGAGTTTCATGCTCATAATTTGTGCACTTTATTAATAAAGTTTGCCAACTCGGCTTGGCCCAGACAGAGTGGAAATACACAAAGCCGGGCCAGAGATGAATATAAAAAATGTATAACAATTTTAAAACAATAAAGCTCTAAGAACTTGTGTAAAATACAACACTTTTTTTTAGTAACATAAACGGAACCGCAGGCCTGTTCGTGTTTGCCCTAATATTTGCAATTGATGAGGGAAGTTTTAAGACCTAAAAGGATGGTAGTCTCTTTTATTTTAACATGCTCTTCAGCATTTAAATTCTCCCTTTTGTCCATAAATATTATTTTAAACTTAGAAATGCTTAAGAAGTTCAAGAAACGAAGTGTTTGGTTTGCTGAGGAAAGTGTTTATTTAAGTAACCGGGAAAGTGGCCAGAAGGTCTGTCCACCCGAGAAACATTTTAGTGCTGGTGCTAGTTATTTTGACCATTTTGTCCGCCTTGTCCTTGTCCACCCTGCTGGTTGCCACTTCCACTCTGCGAATTTGGCGGAGGTCCATGGGGTTGTCCGTTTTGTCCCACGGCCGAAACCTGCTGGGGCAACTGGGCCTGGAAAACTTCTGTTTAGGCCAAGCGGCTGACTGAAAATTCCCCAACTCTTACCAATCCCAGGACCAGAATCAGTAGGAAGATGTTGAACAATGCGAACTGCTTCATGTTGAATTTGAAACTGAAATATCGCCGACACCTTCGGCCTTATATAGCACTATAACCCTGCTGGTTCCGAAAGATAGGAATCTAATGCAATTAACTACAGCGTTTGGGAACAATTTGTAAAATCGTTTTGTAGTTTGCTAATTAAATTTTATATTATTTACGGCTGCTCGAATCTGATTTATAATGTCTTAATTGCGTGTGTCACGTCTGACTGATGGTATATCGGACAAGTATTAAACAAATAGGAAAATAACTCGTGAGAACTACTATTTCGTTGTAGTTCGAAAAACAAACTTGATAAAGAAAAATCACCTGACCCTAATTTCTATTGAGTAATAGCCGGCTGAAAGCCACCGATGCTATGGCCGATTCCTGTACCTTAAGTTTGCAACTTCCGAGTACAGAGTACAATAAAAAATAAATATTGAGTAATAGTTGTTTTTAACAAATTTCGTTGCTTACTAGTTTATATATTAAAGGTTTTCGGAAAGTTTTTAGCAAGCTTAAGCTTTGATAAAGGAAAATCCCATGCCTCTAATTTAAATAGAGTATTTGTTGTTTTTACAAAATTAAGATGCTTACAAGTTTATTTATTTGTGTAAATGCTTTGGGAAAGTTTTGGTGAGTTTATAACTCGATAAACCAAAACCATATGCCCAATTTGAATCGAGTATTGGTTGTTATCACAAAATTAAAATGTCCAAAAGTTTATATTCTAAAAGGCTATTAAAAAGTTTTTAACTAGCTTAATAAAATCGAACTTGTACCCAAGGCAGGCATTATTCTTGCTTCTAATGTCTTTGTCTTAGACTTTTGCCCCGAAAATTCGCTTTTTCTTAATTCATTTAAAACTCTTGTTATGCACACTCCGTAAAGCTTTCGAAATCAATTAGCTTTGAACTATTATATTTTCATAAAGTTGGTCTAGGCTGAGTAAACTATCAATTATTCAAAACTCGATTTTCTATTTTTATTCGGTCTTTTAATTTGAGCGTATGCCACAAACAATCCGGCGCACCAGCACACATGTGCCACCATTTTTGTGACTGACAGTGCCAGTTTTGTATAACGGTAACCGGGTGCACCACACACCACACACCATACACCACCATCCACCCACCGCCCACAAGCCGCCGATCCACTTGCCCCTCGCCCTCACCTGTGCTATGCAAATCACCTTGGGGGCATGGCCGGGCAAAGCAATTTCGCTCAGCATTTTCGAGCGTTGACTGGCAAAATGTCTTCGGTTTCAGTTTGAGATTAAATTTTGCCAAACGTTGCCCAAACAAAAGCAGCACTTGCTAGTTTGTCGAAAGCGATGGGCCGCCTTCCTTTTCACCTGCCAGATGTGTGGCCATATCAATGCGTGTAGACGGAAAACAAATATTTGTATCACTATGTGGCTCGAATAATTTTCGTATTGCTACATTTTAGTTTCCTATAAGCCTTTGACTTGTGTTCAAACTATTTTATTTCAATGTGTTCAAATAACGAAATCGTGCAAAGTTAAATCCCTAACAAAAATATATTTATTTTTGTACAGATTTCACCATCTCCTAGACGTTTTTTAGCCACCTAAATAACAATTTATACAAATTTAATATAAACACTTAAATACAAGAGCCTTTTAAAATCTCATAAAGTTCTTCGTTTTTGCCAACTTTTTTGCCAGTGTTCTTGTGTGTGAGCTTTTGGTTAAGAAATGCCTCTACCGCGGCAAAATATGAATATTGAATACGGCCATAGTCGCGGACTGAGCTGCAGAACAAACCGCAAGTGAGTGGCAAAGCCATAATGCCTTACACCCATTTCGGCGCTTCGTGGGAAAAGAAAAGGATATATGGGCGGCCATATAAAGGACCGAAGGAGCCGAATTCTGAGACCAAGACGACACCAGCATACATTGTGGATAAGCACTAATGAAGTCTCAGCTCTCGTCCTTTACAGCTGGCTGGCTCATTGTTTGATTTTGACTTTGCCACTACCTTCACAGCCGAGAAACCTCCGGTGACGCCCTCTCTTCCAACTTGCCAACTCACAAATGTTTGCTCAGTCACTGCTTTGTCCTTTGACCTCTCCGCCTCCTGGGGCCTGCCTATTTATTTATGTTTATAATAGGATTTTTATCAAAACTTTTCCCCGAATTAATTTTGTAATGAGTATTTAAAAGACACTCGCATTTGGACAAACAGAGACGGGACACACACAAAGAGACCCGCAGCGAGCAGTTCTGGTGTTTGTCTTTTGACACGCCCGATGCCCACTCAACTTTTCGTGACCACGCCCCCTCCCACAAGCACCGCCCCCGCCCCCGCGGTGCTCTTATCAAGGAGCAGACCGGACTGAAAAGACCAGGATGTGGCAGCCAACGTTTATGACGGACATCCTAAAGTGGGGATCCCTGCGCCAGCCAAGCAGCGTTAATTATTTTTGGGAATGAAAATATTATTGGGTTTTTAATAGCTTTAACTTTTCAGCAAAACGTTATTAATTATACTCAAACTTTGTAATCATGAGTATAAAAAATTTGGTTATATTATATTTTTAAATCTGTAATTTTTTTTGTTATATATTATATTATATACAAATGGAATCCTATCAAATGTTAGATTAGGAATTCAATTTTAAACTTTTCCACACTTAAGAATCAAATTTGGGTTCTTATAACATTTCATGGCTTAAATTTCTGCTCTCTTGGAGATATTTATATTCTAGAACCCTAGTAATTTTTCACACTTTGCATAGAGTATAGTGTATGCCCATGTTCGTTCATCTCCCCAGAGCACAATATTCTGTTTTTTCCGCACTTTCATTCGCACCACCAACTTTTTTGTTTTGACTAATTTGCTGCAATGTTCAGTCATTAAAATAATGCCGGTGTGGATGTTTTTGGCGAGAGGGTCTTGGTCCAGTGGTCCGTACTCGGGGTTTGTACCGAAACCGAAACTAGATAATTGCCAAATATTTGCGTAAGTTGTTCGTGGTGCAGTCATCTCATTACGGATTCACTCTGATGGACTGGGAGGGCTTTCATCCGCACATTTTGGTGATTCGGCCTTTATGCTGGGATGGGCTACAATTTCGGCTAGTGGTTATTACAGGGTATTAGGTGGTCACGGGCCCACCTCAAATAGCTGCGGCTGCTGCTGTGTGGCTGCGGCTTTGCTTCATTTCACCACCGGCAAGGCAAATTCTGAATAAATCTCTGGTAGGCCAGCGCCTTTGTGCGGCAACTCACTCGCCTGGCCTTTGGATAACTACTATGAAAGCCCGCCTAATTTTGTCCAAATTTGCTGTTTAAACATGGCCAATTTAATTTTTGGCCGCCGACAGGGCAGCCTGCCAAAATCAGCCCGGCGGTTGCCGTTTCGCTTTTCACTTTTAGCCCGGCAAGCAATTAAGTCAGGCCGAAGAGTCAAGAGGGTTCTTAGGGGAATTTGGTCTATTAAAAAGCGCATTGCTCTAAATGCTGCTAAAATACTTTTGAATGCAGCTCGACTCTGATTAAATCAGTTATGCAGCAGGCGAAAAAAGAGAAGGGTAAATGGGTGGTGTAGTGGTTTGTGGGTGGTGCTAAAACCCACCCGCAACTATGGGCAATCATTAAGGAAATCGCTTTGAAATGATGCGATGACTGCCAACTGCCGACTGCCGACAGTTGACTGACTGAAACAAACACACACCGATGGAAATTGGGAAAATGGGGAAGAAATGGTGAACTCGTGAAATGGGAATAGGAAATGGGAAATAGGAAATAGGAAAAAGGCAAAAGTGGCAAGGGCAAAGGCGAACTTTTCAAAGCATCATTAATCATGAAAAGTTCGGGCGGTATTAATCCCTGGTCATGGCGTAAGCCTTTGTGGAGCTGTCGATATTTGCTTGTGGTTTTTGCGCAAATTGGGGAAAATGAAAATGACAAAAGTTCTTGTCTATCTCTGTCGCCAGCGGAATTATGGTTTATCATATTTGTTTGGAATGCTTTGCATTTTTTCCTCCCCTTGTGGTAACCGAAAACACACACGATCCCTCCACTCCTCACACACAGAAATGACATTTCCTTTGTCTCCTGCTCGTCCGAGTTTCCTGCGTTCCGCCTTTTTTTTTTTTTCTCGTTCGTTTTTTGTTTAAACATACTGTTGTTTGTTGCTTTCTGCAGCTCTCTTGGAAATACTGTAAATATTTTTAATTCTTTGCCAGCGCCAGAGGGGCAGCGGCATTTCCAGCTTTTAAGCTAAAGCTATGAAAATAATTTGGTCCCAGAAATACTTGCGGCCGAGTTGGGGCGGCAGAAGGCGAAAGGCGGAAGGCGGATGGAGGGCGTCAGGGGGGGGGGCGTGGCCTGTCCATAGCTAGGTCCTTTGGCTGTATCCCTGGAACTGGGCCTGTGCATGAGCCTGGGCAATTGGAATGCCTTTTGTGGCTCGCAGTAACATCGTCGTCGTGTTGATTAAGCCAGCTCCCAAAGCCAAAGCCAAAGCCACATCCACAGCCACATCCACAGCGAAAGGCAAAAGAAAACGCGTTCTGGCCAAGGGGGCGCATTGTTGCCATGATTCCGGCCATATTCCTTCAGCAATCCGCCGTATTCCGTGTAAAATGGTGACATGGTGGCTGCCACAAAGTGCCGCTGCAAGTGGATAATAACTGACGGCAACTATGCGCATTTGTTTTATGCAGCAAAGTAATGAAACAACAGCAACGGAGCATCCAAGCGCAGCACCAAAAATGACAACGAGCCCGCTTCCTTCGGGCGGTACAACAACAACAACAACTACAACAGCAACAACGGCAACGCAGCAACGGAGCAACGCAACCCGCAACAGCACAACAACAATACCAGCAAAACAAAACGCTGAGAAAAACAGATGTCACTTAAAGTTGTCATTAATTAGGCATTACATTCTTGCTAACTCGCTAGTACGTTGCGACAAAAACTTGAAAAAAAAATAGGATTCAAGTTTATAATCATGGTTAAAATGTAATTTTTTAAATCGTCAAAAAATGCATTCCCACAAAATAGAAATATAAACTAAATCAATAAAATTAAATTTTTTCAATTGCATTAGTTTTAAGATGCCAAAATGAAATTTTTTAAAAATATTGAAGTCAGAATTTTAATAACAAAAATGGCAATTTCTATTAAACTAAATTTGCCGTTGTTTTTAGCCATTACAGCACGTTGAAAAATGTTGTTGAATTTGTTCCCAAAACAATCAATTGCTCAGAAATAATAGTAGTATAAAATGTGTATTCATGAATATTGTTTGTCTTACATATTTATAATGCACATTACATTTCGAGCTTTAGAGCAATCGTCCAAAGCAAGCTCAACCAAAATAAAAATAATTATATGCAAATTCGACAAGTATCAACAAACATAACATAAGATATGGCTGGTCATTCACTTTACAGTGTTAGCTGTAAAGTTTTGCTTTGACCCTAAAAGAAAGAGTTCAAAATTTCTTGCGACCTAAGAAACAACCCGCGATTACACTATAAATATTTATGAAATAGAAAAAAAAAACAGAACAACGAATATTCATGAACAAAGAGGACACTGAAAAATTTAAAAGGCAATTCGAAAATGGAGTAATTATGCTTTTGTCGCTGTGCATCGGGGCGGCAAGAAGTGAAAACACAGCCAGCGACAGAGCAACAAACTATGGTTCCTCCCGAGGAAATTGCGTGCATAGTGGGAAAACTTTTCGCCGGGTCGAAGTCAAGAGCGGCTCCAACGTCATCAGCTGGTGGCCACGGCGGAGAGTGGAGGTGGCTGGTGGTGTTTTCTTTTCGCCTATTTTGAGTGCCAGGACAAAGCAAAGACAAACAGCAGGGCAGGGCAGGGCACACAGAGACTCCGACTCACGGTTTTGCGGAGCTGCTTTGTCATGGCCGCTGATTTGGTTTAAGAAATGCATAGCAGCATTCCACATTTTCCACCCGCTGCTCACAATGAGCGCACCAGCAGGAAAAGCGAGGGGAAATGGGCGACCTAGGTGGGTGGCGGGCGGTGGGCGTTATTACAGAGTGGAACAGGAAGCCTCGCCCGGTCGCCATTTTTGCCAGGCAATGCGCTCGTGCATGCAGCAGTTAGCGCCTTTCCCCGGACTGTGGTTCACACCTTTTATACCCGATTCTATAGCCATTATCTTGCATGGAATAATCCCAAACTTATGTCGTCCAATTCAATTTATGGAATTTATATGCCACGAAATAAGAAAACCCCCTTAGCGGTTTTTTTCAAGGTCGCTGATTCGTTTTATTATATCGAAGCAGTTTTCACTTGTATCTATATTTTTCCTGCAGGCTAGAAGTGTCATTTCTCTGCATCTTTTTGTGTTGAGGTGGCAGTTGCAGTTACCTGAGAGCCATTATCCCCCCTCCCTTTGCAAACTGTTTCTTAATCTGATTATGGGTTTATGTTTCCTTTGCTAAAGGATTCAAGTGTCCGTAAAAGAGGAAGTGACGTTAATGCTTACATTTGCAGTCCTAATCGATTAATTGCTTAAATCCAAAAATCAACATTAGAATTCTTTGGTTGGTAGCTATCATTATTATGTGTTAATAGATGGCATACAAATAAAATAATAAACATTCACTTTCTTGAAACTTTGAAAACAACAAGACTTATAAACAAATATGGTTAACTTCCTAACTTTTTCTTTCAAAAACTAAATAAAATTCATATTTAAATTTGGAAAAGGGGAAATCTCAGCTAAGAGTTAGTAATCTCTAAAATGCATGGCCAAAGAATTCTTAGAAATACTAAGCCCTCTTAAAAAGACACAAAAAGAAGATGCACTTCATTGCAGACTTGAGAGAACAAATAAAAAAGGATTGAAGCAAGGCGGAAAATGTCCATAAGCTTCTATGAGAATTTGGGTCCACTGTGCTTAACCGGGCCAACACACAAATTAGTTTTAACCAGCCCTGTCACGCTGCGGTGAGCGCCATTGTGCTGCCACCATCGTGGCTGCCGATTAAGTGCGTCGCCTTGGAAAAGGGAAAGCGGAAAGGGGGAGGAGTACTAGCCCAGTGTATAACTAGAACTAGACGCAGGAGTCCCAGCTGCTGCCTGTTGACGTTTCAGTGCCTTTCAGCCGAAAGTTTGCACTGCCATCGCAGCAGGAATTTCGAGAGGGGACCAATTCCAACGTGAGGGGCGTTAAAGGGGGAGAGGAGGGGAGGGGAGGCCGTCTTCTAATCAACATCTAATTATATCGCACACCACTCTAATGAAGGTGAGCCAAGGCATGCATGATTGATGATTGATAATTACAGAGGATGGGCGATGCGACCCATCCACATCAAACATCAACGGGAACACAAATCAAGCAGCTCGCAAATCTATGCCAAAAACACAGAAACTAATACAAATGCGAGTGCAGCATGGATGAGCGAAGTGTGAGCCTGTGTAGGTTCGTCGCTGTTCTGCTTGTGTTTGTATTTGTATTTGTGTTTGTATTTGTGTGAGATGCAACATGTGATACACTGTCCTAGTTCCGCGTCCGTTACTGCGTTGTTATGCAACACAATGGCACAAATAAACGCAGCGGGAGGCTGTTACGTCGGGCGGTGGGTGGCGGCATTGAGATTGAGCCCATCCCAAAAAGCTCCACCCAAAAATCTCAAGAATCTTGCTCAAGCTTTAGCTCAAACAAAACTCAAGCTGAAAAGCGTGTAAATGTCCCAAACTTAAAGCTATGTCCCGAAAATATAACACAAGCTTACAGGATACGGGAGCTTAAAGCTTTTTACAGCCCGCTAACATAACAGTAAAGCTCTTTCCAACAGCAACACATGGATGTCCCTTTCAATAGGGGTTTCACTAATAATCACTACCATTTAAAACATCCATAACGAAACTTTTTTGATAAGTCCGCATAAGTAAGTTTTTAAATTTGACAGACTTAGGTTATCCTTTTTGCCAAGTTAAATAACTCTGCAGAATTATACCAACTTCGATAGTCCGAAGTTAAGAGTACTAACAATTTTTTTGTTTTTGTGCTTGTACTTACATTTCGTTAGGTTTTCTAAATTTGAAATATAACGAAACAAAACACAATACACAAGGCATTAGATATGTAGTCGTTATATTAAGGCACTATTGGATATGATATCAACAAATGTATATTTATAAATATCAATTCGTGCCTACGGAGAATGCGTATTTACAATGTTTTCACAGCAACGATTCTAGGATAATAACGAGGCGCGTTGTATGTATTTTATATCTTAAAGCCTGATAACTTGTTCCATTAGAGTTACATTCGCTTAAAATCTAGAAGGAGAACTGGACTGCAATGCAAGCGGGGTACACAAGATACTTTATAATGTATTCGGGATAAAGCATTTTGGTTCTCGGGCAACAAACTTAAAGGGTATCTTTCTCTCTACGACTTACCCATATCATCGATAATCGGAGCCATTCGCAAAGTAACACCGATCAACATCAGGCACATGAGCAGCAACAAACAGGCGGTGGCAATTATTGTCCAGCGCGCACGCTGCGACAAATCATGAGGATCGATCACCTGGAGGGACATATAATTATCAAATTTGGAAAACTCCTTTTAGATCTATTGATATTACCCACCTTAACAACCTCTGTGTCCAAGTCCTGCACCAAAATCTTTGGTTTTTTGTGCCGGTGTCGCTTTTTGTGGCGATGTCTGCGGATAATGATTATACATTATTAATCATTACTACATTTAATATAAATACACACGCTTTCTCTTAATATAAACGCTAAAATTTAAAAAGCCTGACTAAGTTTCCTATAAACATAGTGAGCAAAATGAGTTAACCAATAAATAAGCGACAAGCCACATTATTGATTTGAAAACCTTCCCAAGCTTAAATTGATTTTGGAGGTCCTCTGGAGGAAATTAGTTGTTGGTTCGGAACACCATAAATTGATTAAATGCTTGTAAGAGGAAATAAAGTTTCAGTTACTTGGCATTGCCTCTAATGCCATTTGATGATTATTTCTAGCAGAAATTTTGCACATTAATCTGTTTAGCTTTAGCTTTAGCTTGTGCGCCTGGATCTGCTCCTTTCCCTGCTTTCGGCCACATATGTGAGCCCTACCTGCAACAGAAGCTTAAACATATTTGCTCTATTTCCGTTTGGGTTTTGCAAAACTTCCGCATTACAAAGCTGCCGCAATTTCCCCGGCACCGCAGCCCCGTCCCGCCGACAACCACTCGCTGCGAACAACATGGCTCGATTTTTGCAACGGAAGTTGCTCCTGGCGATGGGCGGAAAAAGGAGAGCAGCGGCAGAAACAACATCAGACATCGTTCTGCTGACAGTCAATGCCATTGTGAACACCCACCCCCCACCCAACCGACCGACCACCCATCCACCCACTGAGCCACCTAAATCCCCTGCCTTTCCACCCACAAAATAGTCGCACAAAGCTTGTCAATCAATTTTTGTCTGCTCAACGTCACGCGAACCTCCCAAAGGGAAAATGGGCGGTGGCTCAAAAGGAGGGCAACGCATTAAGGCATATTTGGCAATCACAATCGCCATCAACATCGCACCGCCAATCGGCAGGACATTTATTAGTGCAACCCAAGGCCACGACCGGCCCTTTGTTGCTGCACCTGTCCAAAGTGTCCTAGCTGTCCCACTGAGACACCATTCATCCATCAGCTGGCCCCCGAAAAATGCGCTATTATTTATGTGCCACCCGATCATTTCTCAACTCAAGCCGATGCTGGCCAGAAGGCCATCGAGGCCAATGTGTCTTGATGGCTAAAAAGGATTTGGGGGAAATCCTAGGGGGCCGGCTCTTCGTTGTTCACTCACCGATGCTTTCGGCGATGCCGCTGATGACCACTAGGAACCATCTGCTCAAGGTCGTCGATTTTATCGGCATCCAGGTCCAGGTCCAAGTCCAAGTCCATGTCCAGCTGCAGGTCGCAGGGCGAGTCCTCTCCGTACGGGCATTGTCTGCGGATAATAAATTACATTAGTGGCCACGAGCTAAAAATATGGCTTTCGTTCTATAATCTGCTGATATTTACATTTCCCTAAGGTTTACTTAGAAAAATACGAAAAAATATGTTTAGATTCACATTTTTGCGGTTTTTTAAAGCATACTATATCTGTTATATATTATATGTAATATTAAAAAGTTATTGCATATGGTTATAACATACATTTTCTAAAGCAGTAAAACTTTCAGTTCACATTTTATTATTTTACGTTACGTTATGTTATTATACGTTTACTTTAGAACATTTTTCTTGTTTTAACTGGTTAAAAGAAATTCCTGTTTAATAAAAAATGTTCTATTCAACTTTAATATAAAAACATTGACGTTCACAATATTATTTAAGTAGCTTTCACTGATTCTTTTTTTTTGTTTGGAACTATTGGAAGAATTTTTTCCTAATCCCTTAAAAAATGTTTAATTTCCTATCAATTAACATTGGTTAACCGCCAGTAAATAATATTTTCTACAAAGCCTTGAATTGGTCAGCATGTATTTATAGCCCATTAATAACGCATTAATGAGTTGACCAATAAATTAAAAAGGCAAATGTAATTAATTCTTTAAGTCATTTTTCATTGAAAGAGTAAACATAGATGTGCTTTACAACTGTCCTTATATTATCCTTTCTCCGAGAGGACTTACATGGGTTGCTGGGTGTCCGGATTGATGCCGAGCACGTGCACATAGTGCTGGAGACCGCTGGGCGTGGGATAGACCAACGCGGGATCCGAGCAGCGATGATGGCGCTCTGGGGGAGAGGGAAGGGAGTCTGAATGATTGAGGAACCCTCTCGTTTCGGCTCGCTGTCACTTACTGTACTTCCGCTTCCGCCGGCGGTACTCGTCGTCGCTGCCCGTGCTCTGGGCCGCTGCCATTGCCGCGGAGGAGGAGGGCATCGCGGACGGCCTGAAGGCTTCGCTCGGCCTCTCCTTCGGCTTCGCCGCACTGCAGCAGCCGGTGGCTGCCACGCTGGAGCCCGTCGACGTGGAGGTCATCCGGTGCAGTTTTTCGGCCACCAAAGTCCTCGCCCTGGCCCTCTCCTCACTGCCGTCCTCCATTGGAATCACCACGGCGCCGGGATCCGCGCCGAATGTCGGACGGACAGCCAGGAGTCCCGTGCTGCGCGACTTGCGGCGCTCCTGATTCCTGCTGCCCCTCGCCGGGGGCGTATTTGCGTAGCTGGGCGTGGCATGCAGCGACTGGGAGTCGCTTTGGGCCAACACCGTGCTCACCGTCACATTGGCGCTGTCCTCCGAGGTGTTCTGGCGGGAGAAGTACCGGGTGTAGGCCTCCGCTCCTCCTCCGCCTCCTCCTGCCCCTCCAAAGTTTCCAGCCGCCCCGCTTTCCGTGCAGGATATCTGCTTGGGCAGCAGTCGCCTTCGCTGCGGAAGGGGAGCCGGCAGCGTCTCGATCTCCAAGGCCACGTGGGGTTGCGGCTGATGTTGTTGCAACTGCTGCTGCGGCTTTGCCAAACTGGAGGGAACATTGATATGCAGGCGCTGGGGAATAGACAAGTAATCAGTCTACATTTTAATACATTTGCCACAACACAGCACACACAAAATATACAATTATGGTTTTCCGCTAGACAGAATATTGTGGTATCAAGTTTAATAGTTGTATTTAACCAGCATGACAATATGCGGTCTCCATTCCTTTGCAGAGGATATTTTAATTTCGTGAACGAGTCCATTCGGACTCCATGAATATGTTATATTGTTAATCAGCATCACCATCTGAGATGATTTAGAATGTCAATCTTTAACAGAGATCTCAATAAAACGTTACCAAAAGATTACGATTTCAGAGTTGCAATATTTTATTTGTTGAAATTAAGAACGACAATACCATGTAAATTAAAAAAATGGGAAGTTAACTGAAATTTGTTCATAACTTCTCTTTTTAAACATATTTAGATCGATAAATACTAGATAGTACAATAGTTTATATTGTTAGTTTAGGACAGACAACATGAAAGAGTTAAGCCAGAGCCACCTTCCTCACCGATTTACAAATTTTAATATATTTTATTGTGGTTCGGTATGGTTTTGGTATGTTATTATATGTATTATATTTTAACAAGAAAGGAAGCTAGCTTCGGCAAGCTGAAGCTTATATACCCTTGCAGTCATCAAACATATCGAACAAAATACATAAAGGCTAACAACATCGAAGCTATGAAGACTTTTCTATTAATTTTCCATATTTTCGACTATTGTTCATATGGCAGCTATATGATATAGTCGTCCGATTTTGATGAAATTTTTTTCTCGGTTCAAGGGTAGTTCATAAAGTCGATGTTGTAAAAATCATGCTCGTGGAATAAAAAACAACAACGTTATGATTATTTTGCCATTATTTCTATATATATTTTTTGATCTTTCCTATGGCAGCTATATGATAGGGTTATTCGATTTTGATAAAATTTAATCCGAAATTTAATAACCGTTAGAAAACGCCATCTTGAAGAATTCAAGTCGATCTGATCAAAAACAACGGCGTAATAATTTTTTATCCTTTATTTTTTTGACCTCTTGTATGGGAGCTATCCGATATAGTCGGCCGATCCGGCTCGTTCCGACTTATATACTGCGTGCAATAACTACACATCTTTTGGGAAAGTTTCAGCAAGATAGCTTTAAAACTGAGAGACTAGTTTAGGCAGAAACGGACAGGAGGACAGACGGACAGACGGACAGACGGACAGACAGACAGACGGACAGACGGACAGACGGACAGACGGACAGACGGACAGACGGACAGACGTACAGACGTATTTCGACTCAGATCGTGATGCTGATCAAGAATATATATACTTTATGGGGTCTGAGGTGACTCCTTCACTGCGTTGCAAACTTCTGGCCAAAATTATAATACCCTTTGCTCTGCAAGGGTATAAAAACCTTCACCAGATATCATCATCTAAGTATAGAATTTTAATAGATTTTCATAGCAAGCTAAATTGCTTATTCACGCAGAACAGAATTTCAGGGGAAAAGTACGATGGTGGGATTTGATCACTGCATCATAATTACTCACCGCTTGTTGGGGCGACTGCAGCGGAAACGAGCGCACCACGTGCCTGGGGAAGATGGGGCTGCACTGGGCGCTGATCGACTTGGCCTCCAGGATCCTCAGTCTCTTGGCGAGCCGCGCCCGCTCCCGTGACTCCGCCTCCGTTCCAGAGGCGGTGATCACCTCCGCGCCGCCGAAGCTGACGGTGCAGCGGGAGCTGCTGTACGAGAGGCTCTCGAGGCTGCCGTGCAGCGAGGCGGTCAGGCTGTCGTCCGCCAACGTGGAGCTGTGCAGGACTCCCCCTCCGCCGCTCGAGGCGACTCCCCCGTGGCGGTCGCTGTGGCAGTTGCTGTGGCAGTCGTCGAGGTATTGTCGTGTCCGGAGATCGGGGGCAGTAGGTCCGACTCGCCGTTGTGGATCGTTGTGGAATGTTTGCCGGGGAGCTGGGTCCTCGATCTGATCTCCCCCTCGGAGCCGATGGACCGCCGCTCCGCCTCCACGTCCACCTGGTGTGCAGGCGTGTGGGTCTGGGCCCGGACCAGCAGGCTGTGGCTGTGCCTCTGCTGCCGCTGGGCTCCCGAGGAGTTGCTCAGCGTGCTGGCCAGGCTGTCCTCCAGGTTCTCCGCTCGCTTCGGATGCGCTCTCGGTGGACTGGCCAGTGAACCGGAGGCCTCCTCGATGTCGTCGCTTCGGGTGCGGGCTTTTGTCTTGGCTCTCCTTCCCGCCTTCCCGCTACTCGTGGCTGGTAGGGATTGCTCCACCTGGCGCTGCTCCTCCGCCAATGGCGGGGTATCCTCCCTGCTGGAACGACGACTGCCGCTCCCAAAGAGCTTTCTGGGCAGAAAGATGCGACCGATGGACTTCCGCTTGCGCCGCTTCGCCCGCTTGTGCTCCTCGTAGTCCCGCTTGAGGGCCTGCATCTTGTGCTCCACCAGAGTGCTGAAGACGGCCTCGTAGGTGAGCGCCCGCTGGAGGTCCAGCAGGACATCGTTGGTGGAGACGGCCTTGTCCAGTTTGGTCAGCAGCTGCAGGGACTCGGCGCCACTACCGCGGCCACTGCCCGCGCCACTCCCGCTTCCGCCGCTGCCACTCCCACTCTTGCTATCGTCCGCATCCGCCATGTTGGCCTAGATGCAACTGGCTGCAACTGGCTCTGGGTGGCTCAGACTGGGGCTCTGGTGGCTGGAGGCGGTTGTTGCTGCTTCTGCTGCTGTTCTTGGCGCCTATTTGCATTCTACTCGACGCGTTGACACGTTGATCAGTTTGTTTTGTCCTCGGGGTTGTGATTCAGCTTCTGCTTTTGCTTCTGCTCCCGAATCCTAGGCTCCTCCTGCTGCTGCTGCTGCTGATGCTGCTGCTGATGCCTGCCCGTCATCTGGGTGGCGATGTCTTTGGATGCGACAGTGTCATCGCCGCCGTCGCCGCCTGGTTACCTCGTTCTCCCGTCCTCCCGTTCTCCTTTCCGCCAATTGCCTTTTCAATGGATTCTCCTTTGTGTGTCACGATGGCATCAAGTGGCGCTTAAAGGCGACGACTGCACCTGCAACAACAAGAGCTACGGAACATTAGACTCGCTTTCCCACTCGATTCAATAGACAATCATCGCCCAATATCCTGCCCGCCTTCCCCACTCCCGCCGCATTCAAGGACTCACAAAAGAAGAAGAAGGAGAGGGAGAGGAAAGGGGGAAATATAGTGGAAAAATGGGGGAAAACGGGGGGAAAGCATCCAGCCAGCGAGGACAGCTTGCCAATAGTTTTGCTCACTTTTCTGGCTCGGATTCGCGTCTGCCTCCATTATGCATGAGTGTGGCAGATTTCAACTTGTTGCACGCATACCCTCCCACACGAGCACACACACACACACACACACTCATGCGAACAGGAGCATGAACACACGAGGGACGGCATTCACGGCATCCTATCAGCAGTCAATGTCGAGTGGTCAGTGATGACCCACATTCCTTCGCCAGAATGTGGGGCGAAAATATGGGAATTATCTCGGTAAATATTTCAGCTCAGACTTTCCATCTACGCTAGGTATGTTTAAGGGAGGCAGACCATATAGCTGTCTTCCATACATAAGCTGTCTTCCATACAAAAAAAAAAAAAAAAAAGTGAGGTATAAATAAAGCGCTTCTCAAAGTGTATGTACTAGTCTGTACTAGTAGTTAGACCTGATGATTTATTGCTTGATTAAATTTTAACTTTATTCTTAAGAAAAAAGAAATACCCAAATTCTCACAAAGATAAAAATACTTACAACTGATCTGTATTTTCAAATAATTACAATTTATTATTTTCCACATTCCTTTTGGGTTTCAGCTTTATTATTTCAATTAAATTTTCGCTATACAAAAAACCCAAAGCCAAATGGGCATCACTGAAACAGAGCAAGTGAATCGAGAGCATCGAGCTATGACAGGTAAGTGGGAGTGCGAGAAACAGTTAAAGCCGAGCGTGAAAAGTGACTATATACAAATATGTGGGAGTATATGGGAGCCGAGGGCCCTAGGCCCGTGGGAAAATGGCAGCGACAGGACTCCCTTGTGGCCCCCATTGCGCTTTCTGCGGCCCTTCGTTTCGCATGTATATATATGCATATACCCCGAACAAAAACCTACAATGGAAATGGATATTGTTTTCATTTCCGCAGTGCATAGTCGCACTGCAATCTCAGTCGCACGTTCGTGAATGTCGACGCCAGCCGAGATGCAAATGGCACACAAAAGAGTCGCCACAATAGGCGCCATCAACAGCAGCAGCCCCATCATCTAAAAAATGATTAAATGCAAAACAGAAGAAAATAATGCACAATAATGCTGGTACACAACATGAAAAGGGCGGACCAGACCCTGAAGCCTAAGTCCTGAAGCCTGAACCCTGAATCCTTGCATGTCGTTGCTCTGGAAAATCGTGCAGCAATCGCTAATTAAACGATATGGTTGGGTAATAGAAAAACTTGAAGCCGCCAGTTTGCATAAATTTCAGTTAACCGGATCAAATACGTGGCCCCGGTGCACACATTGGTACACTGCAGAAAAACTGAGGTAAGCAGCTCTTCTCTGTGATTCTAGTTTTTTTAAGCAAAAGAAACAAACATACCCTTCTGCTTGAAACAAGTTAAGCTAATTGCCTTTCTTTTCTTTACGACTCTTATATTTAAATAAAAATAGGTTACTTCGCTTTAACATTTTAAATTGAGTGCTAAGCCTTTCTTATTCTCATTTAGAATATCGTATAAAGAATTGAATCTCTTTGCCACGTACAAAAGCGATCAAATACAGTCACTTTTATAATAGCTTTTTTTTGTTTTCATTTTTTGTATTTATTAAAGCATACTTTTCTATTAACTTTCCTTCAGCATGCATTTACCTTACGTTTTTCCCATCTTTCATTCACACCTCAAGGCTTCCAAACAAAAGTTCACCTTCGACCTGAACGAATTTATATAAATAACCGGCACAGCAAATATGAACTGAAATCGAATTACCTTAACTCCGAACTGAAAACTTAAGCAAGTCGCACACAGGCATTCACCTTGATCCCCTTGGGACTTAACTGAAAATTGACTTAAAGCCATTCACTGACCACAGAACAATTTCCATGAATCCAATCCTCAAGCAAAAAAAAAAAAAAAAAACGACAACAATAACAATTTTTGTGAGTGCACAGCCTAAGCGTCTTATCTCTGGCCCAAACACAATATCCAACCAGCCAGGCGTGCAAACAATCTAGGCAAATGAAAGAGCGAGGGACGCAGCGCCGGGAAATGCGGAAAGGGGGAAGAAGGGGAGGAGAGTGGAAAGGGGGGAAAAGGGAGAAAAGGGGGCGGCATCGCAAACACACACGCATAAATCCAAACAAAGACCACATGCCTTATGGCCAGGGCCACCAGTTCTACTGCCTCCTCCGTCTCAGGCGGTACAAAAATAAATCATCCGAGGACATAAAACGAAGCCAGGCAAAAATTATAACTGTTGCTGCCACTGCCGCAAAAGTAAATAACAGTTAACAGCGGCAACATCTGTTGTGCGCCGCGGCAGAGGAAAATTCAACAGTTGTGCAGAAGCAGAGGAACGGGACAAAAGAGAGAGAGAGAGAGAGTCCTCTCGCTCTGCGCAGCTGCCACAACAACTGTTGGCCAACATTAGGCAGTCGAATGTTTTTGCCACTGTTAACAACTTCTGCTTGTTGCTGCCTCTGGCTTTTCTAGGAATGTTGTCTCCTGACGATCCGCTTAGAGTGTGTGTGTGTGTGTGTTTATAATGGGACATCTGAACTTTTTAGCCAAGTAGTTGACAGCCTTTTTTCCTTAGATTTATGTGATTGTATTCGGTAGTTTGTGTTCGCCGGGCTAACTTTCAGGGCTGCGGAGTTTGGTGTCAATGACGAGCCGAACAAATTCTTAATTGGCGACACACATCGCCTGGCTCTGAGTGGTTTCAATTTACTCTAAACGGTTTTATTTAATGGCGACACTCGAATAACAAGTCCCGGAGCAGTTGGGCAAACTCATCTTAATTTACCTTATCCTATATCAACTTCAGTTCTATGATTTTAAAATCAAAATTTTTAATAGTTTAAATCACCTAAACTTGGCTTTTATAGCTTTAGTGATTAAAGGAATTTGTGAGTTCCTTTGAATTTTAAACATTCCGAACTTATTGTATATGGGTTAAAATACATTTTTTAATGTCTTAACTTTATTGTTATTGTTTTTTAACAATATAACAACTTTAACAAAAATTAAATGCCTTGACTTCAATCAGAATACGAAAAACATAACATTCTATAGTGCTAGCAACAAGGCCATCGACTAGAAAAATAATTTATGTTGATAAACTGTATTGTTATGTTTCGGTAGGAGTCTTCCCAAAAAATGCAAATTGAATTCATTTTCAAAATGAGCTCTTTGAAGCTGTGATCCAATTCAGTTACATACAAATCCACACACCAACGAAATGACAAAAATAAATCTAGAATTCGCACGTGTCCATGGCGTATACGTGATAATCAAGGGCATTTCGCATACGCCACGTTGGCCAACACACAGCCAACGGATGCCCCAAATTCCAGGACCGCCAGCCATCGCATAAATACGTAATTATTAATAATTTCGCAGCACAATTACCCGGGCTCAAATCAAGAATGGAATAGCAAATGCAAATGGCCGGAGTTGCAACCGGACGGAAAGAGAAAGAGGGAGAAAGTGGAAAGCAGACCAAAAGCCGGAGCTGGCGAATACTTAAATTTAATCAACTTTCAGCTGCCCGATGGTGGAAACGCGATACTGAACACTGGATACTGGATACTGGATACTCCCGCCGATGCCCCAAACTCTCGGCCGGGGGCGTTCAATTATTGACGCCTTTTTTCGCTGTTGTCCTTCGCATATTTTTCGGTTTGCCAAGCGATGCAGCCCAAACATAACAAAACACACAGCAACGAAAAAAGCTGTTTGGCAAATAAAACATGCACATGGCTTAAAACACATGACACCGAAACGAGAGACGTCAGACAAACAAACCAAAAAAAAAAATAAGATGAAAAAAAGGACACGAAAATAAAGCTGAAAACAGCGTTTTACCCCCTTTCCTCTCACTTTTCACTGGCACGACCTTTGAAATTAGAGTTCTGAGATGTGTACGTAAAGTTGCTGAGTCCATGTGCCCGTAAGTGTGTGTGTGCTTGTGTGTGTGAGAGGACAAGAACAACACACATTCAAATGAGTCCTTGGCCGCAACGAGCTGCAGCAAAAAGACCCGCCGCCCCGTTGCATCAAGTGCAACTACCATGGCCCAGCAGCCATCAGCGTGTCAGATAATTAGTGAAAACTGTCTGTGAAGAAACGTCCGTCTGTCGCCAGGTCCGATTGTCCGACATCAGTATCGCATCCAACGTGTATATTCGGAAAGCGCCACAGACACATTTACATCTCCGACCCCTCCCCTCCCGCCCCGTTTCGTTCCGTTCAGTCCACGTGCATGTCCACGGCCCTGGCAATGGCAACAGCTGAAATTCAGAGCATCCGAACGCCAGGCGATGCCTGTGAAAGGAAAAACGAGGCACAACACCATGGGCGACGTGTGTCAGTCAGATGGTGGAAACTTGGCAGGTAAGGCGAATATCTCACAGCGGAATTTGGCATATTGTTTATTTTCTACACGCTGATCATGCCCTTGTGTTTGTCAATCCTAAGACTTCTTTTGAATTAGTTGTATTTAATTTTTACACAATTGTGTTCAGAACTTAAGCTAAAGGGAAAAGATCAGACAAAGTTTATCTAAAATGTAGGTACTGTTTTTTATTGAAATTTTGTTAACCCAAAAGCATAGTTTCAAAGTTCGGAATTTAAAATTTGTTTACGAACAATTCAAAATAAAACAAACAAACATTTAAATATTATACAACCAAGAAAAAAAAATAATGCCTTTATTGTACGTAATAAAATTTTATATGAAATGTAGACATTGAAAGAAAACTTTCCAGTTCGTTGACATTCGTTGTAATTAAAAATAATACTCCTTTCACTCAAACA